TCGATTAATTTATCAAACTGGTGATTGTAATGTTTCAACGTTGGTTCATTATTCAGGTTTTAATGCGTTATAATTGCAATTACTTCATTACAATGCAGTCATTTTGTATGATTTAGTTTGTTTAATTAACGAATTGTTATACAGGTAAATAATCATTTTAAAATAAAGTGTTAATTTAAAATTAAATATTTATCGAACGTACCTATCACTACTCTTCTATATTAGTTTTTGATTTTCAATTATTGTCGCCTAATGGTGCATCCCGAAATTTTGAATATCTTTTATCAATCATTTATTTTTCATCATCTTTCGTTTTTATTCGCCGCGCTTGTGCATCGCGCAGACTGTTATAAATTAGACGTATAGGAGTTAGCATCCGTGACACATTATAAATACAGCGCGTAACTAATTTACATAAGTTCATAAAAAGACGATTTATTGTCGTCAAACTGGATTCGGTAGCAGCGTTTCTGTGCGTTTCGTTTATTTCGGTTTTTCGTCTTGATTCGGAGGAGCGCGACGGAGGAAGCGCATAAAAGTGTAGGTATATGGAGCCGCGTGGCGGTGTCGCTCTTTTATTCCTCTCCTTTCCTTTTCAGCTAACTGTTCCTTAATTACAAAAAAACCGAGACGAAAATATAAATTCTCGTAAACATTTTCGCTGTCGCCTGGATAATTGTGGGATATTAATAATAATTGATTTCAAAATTTATCATCGTTTCGTGGTCGCCGCGCGTGTGGAGCGGATGAAAGAGCCAGAAAGGATGCTGCCAAGCATCAAATCGATACACTTTTTTATATTCGTTAATTAAGTTTCATTAATTGCGGGAATTTTCTGTTTTGACTCATTAAGTTGTAAGTATAGCTACCTGTAATTTAACTTAAAGTTCACACATTCATCGGACGCCCCGGAATGTCATTTTTGACCAGTTAATTAATATTATAAATAAAAATATAGGCAATTAACGCCAGAGCTTACAATTAAAATATAAATATAAATATCATTATCAGTATTTTGTACTGTAGATAAAATTGAATTTACGGCATTGAAATAGCATTTAAGTGCCAAGGCATGAAATAAATTTTTGCGACGCAGTTTTTGGCCGGTACTAATTTCTTCTTATAAAAATAGAAAATTCATTGCATTTTGAGTTCCTCCTTAGTTCCTACATTTGTGTCACGCAAAGGGTTGTACCCTTGAGTAACATCCCCGTAACTGTCATGCAACGTTCGTCTTTTTTGTATGTTTTACAATCGGTAACATAATTGCATACGACGCACGCAGGCAGCAGAAACACACATGCACTCGCAATAATAATAAAACCCGTCGCAGCTGTTCGATCGAAAACTCGCTGGAGTAGGTAGGAAAGTCGGAAAGGTGGGAGCGGCCTCAAAGTTCTCCATGAGCCTGCGCTGAAGCGCATGGGTGGAGCTCCCCGCGATCGGCGGCGGCGGGAGTTTTGTGCACGCCCAATTTGGGCAAAGATACATTTATTAATTTCGATTCATAGCGCCGGCTGCTGGTTGGATTCGTTTTGGGGATTGTAGGCTTCCACTCTGATGCATCATGCATCACGCATGCATTTTGGAACACATGCGACAAAACCTTTGTATTTTTTTATTTTTTCATTTCGAAAAGTTAATAGATTCGGAATTAGTTTCTTTTTTTGTTGTTAAACTGACCTGCTTGTAGTAATACTCAAAATCTGTATGCGTGTTTGCGAGTGAAAAGAGTTACAATTGATCAGGTTGTTATTGAAAATGGTTCACTTCCGGATTTAACCAGAATGTCATTTTCTGGTTGTAGAGATTATCGTATTTGTCATGAAAAGGACTACCTAAATGCCGGAACTAAAAATAGCAAACTAGCGACAAAGTCAAGGAAATGCCATTATAATAGCAACTTACCTACCTATTTCCAGTAAGGAGCTGAATAAGAAATCTTCAATTTTATGATCGGTAAATTAGAAATATAAAACAATGTGGTTAATATTTAGTACCTAACTACTTAATTTAGTAGATTTAAGTTTACTACTTATGAAGCGTTATCAACTTTGTAATTTTATAGCTATCAACATTACACCGGATTATCTACAACTGCTACAAGTAAAATCTGCGTCAAACAAATTCGTAACAAATATAATCTTAGGTAATTAATTGAAGCTTGGATGATTTTATTATTCCATTAAATCATGATCGTAAAAATATGACATATCCAATCTAATTATTCAAATATCTTTCCTCTAAAATGAATTTATTTCTAAGAAACAGTTTGCACAAGCTACTTTGAGTCCCAAAGTCTTCAAACACAAATAATTCTTAGTTTTGCAATATTTCTGAATGTAACTTGATAATAACTCAAGTAAATTTGTCAAAATTGTGATGCTTGATGCCACCAGGTTGAATGAGAATCGTTAAACGCTAACAAAAGCCAACGAACAACACAGCTCTCTGTTTCTAATCCCTGAAAAGGTCATTATCTTAATCGCGAGTCCTTCCAAAAATTCTGCCCACCCTTTGGTTGTCGCACTCGTCGCCGGGCGGATCGCAACAACAATACACTGGCGTATTTACCGATACTCGTTGATCGCCGGTGGCGAGTTGAGTGCGAACAATTGCAAACATACTAAGCAATGAACAGAAATTGTGCTTACCTACTTAGTTTTCTTACGTGTGTAAGATGTGTTGTAGATTGATGAAAAGACGCTTTTTCTTTTCGGTACTGTCAGCGTTGTACGCGTTTGAGGTGACCACAACTAGCCGTATCAGAAAGCGTTTGGCTTATGCGCTAAACGGGGGGTGGGCAATGCGTATTCACACTCTTTACAGGGTGCTTTTACCACTATACAGTTATTACGATAATCGGAGATCTTACTTCAGCGTAATTTATGGCCCTGCCACGCGGCGGGATGGGCTTGTGGTTTGGCAATTGGGCAAATTGTTACTGCAACTGCATTGAGTTCTCGACAGGGTGACGAAACAATTTTATTCTGTTTGTAATATGCGGAAAATTACTTTTGCATTACGCAACTTTATAAAAGTAGGTAGGTAGGTACACAATTTTCCGCAGAAAAAAATAAAAACTAAAAATTTTACAAATACACTTTTCATTAGGATAAAATTACAAAACTTAAGATTAGGGTAAACAATATATTGAAGTATGACGCCTAAAGTCTTAATGTTATCAGTAGTCGCCCTTAAATGTCTCACCTAACCCAGACGTAGCCCCATAGATCGACCGGTAAACAGGTCACCAGGCGTCATTATTCTTGGCAACTAATACCTGATTAAAATACAGTTTACACAGATTTAAAAGTCAGTCTGCTTAAATCTTTTCAGACCGTCGGACGCACAATCGAAAACTATAGAAATGGGACCGCAAAATCTATATATTACGGGCGCCCAGCGCGCCTCAATAAAACCATTTGGAATTTCCCAAATTAACTTCTTAATCCGTCATAAAGATCTTACCGGTTACAATGCCTCTAGCGACTTACGACTTGACTTCTGCAGTTGATTAGCTTCCAGCAATTGTTCAATTGATGACCTTGTCGATGTCAATATCCTAAATTTGTTCATTCAGAATAAATTTTCAGAAATTGCTTATGAATCGATGCGGAATTGTATTCCCATACAATACACATAGGAAAATATAAATTACACTTGCGTTAAATGTGATATTATTCGATTATTTCGTTTATTTATTGTTCGCTCGTGCGTTAATTAAAATTATACCTACATTTTGGTGCGCGCAATCCGTGCGCAAATATGTGTCGAAAATGGAATTTTATTCAAATAATTTGTATTCGTAGCGGCGGTGCGCTCGTGCATGTTTTTGGCTATTTGTATAAATAAATAAATTCCCGGATTTATTTTTGCTAGCCCGGCGGCGGCTAAATTGAATATTGAAATCGGGGCCTACGCAGTCGGCGCGTATGGGGTTGTTTGAATTAAACAATTAAACGGATCCCCGTCGCGGTTTCATCAATTTAATTGACAAATAAAATCGAAATCCAACGCTTTAATTAATTTGCATACGAAAATAATACAATAAAAGCGCGAGCGCGCGCGCCCAGCATTCATTTGGGGGATTAATAATAATTATAATGAAAATTCGTTTAGGTGCAATACGGTTTGAAATCGAACAAACGTGCATAAATTTCGCATTAAAAATTCATTTTATGCTTTGTTTGCATTACAAATTTGGATTTCAATTTATTCATCTAGAAATATTACACACATTATGATCATAAATCCATTTATTGTTGTAGTTATTAATTAATTACTTGAAAAATATTTACAATTAAATAAATCTTTCGAAAATAATAAAAATAAAATATTTCAATCACTTACTGATGCATTTTATTGGATAATTGTTGCTTTAATCGATTGATACTCTCAACGCAAACACGACATACCTACGTGAAAATGTTAAACCGATTTAAAAGTTAAGCATGTAAACGGAGAATTAAAGCACAAGCTTATTCCTTTATATCATTCATACACAGCTAATATGCAATTATCATATGATCTAGGGTAGGTTCTACTTATACGAGTAAATATAACAAACTTAGATTTTTTCCGATAGTTTTCTACTATTGCATGAAATTGCATATTCTCACGTCGCTGAAAATGCGAAACGCGTTACCAACAATAGTAACTTCTTCCGAGAGGGCACGATTGCAACATTGTCATTTCCAAACCCCACCACCCAATAAGTGGCACTTTTTTCATCTAGTGCAGGTAAACGCACTATATCTCACTCTTTCGCAACCCCATGGTGCGGATGCGATGACCTGGGCGCTTCTTCCACCCCATGACTAGACTTAGGTCTACCTACCGGTAGGTAATAATACACCTTCGAAAACGAATACCAGCTCAGTTCAAACTAATCATCCATCTCGGATAGGTCGTGCTCTCCTCGACTTGAAAACATAATTATTGCGTGCTTCTGTTTACACTCACGGGTGTAGGGTAGAGACACTTGAATTAATTCGCGATTGATTCGCACGGTGTACAGTGTATGACGTGCGTTTAAATGTGTGTGCGTTTTGTGTGTGCAATTCGATATTGTCGCGTGGCATCGACTGATAAAACAACGCTGTGTAAAATAAGACGGAACGCGTGAGCGCGCACGTCCCGTTTAGTATTTCACGTGCATTGTACGACGGTGAACCTAAAAGTATTCGCGTTCACGTGCGCCCGTCGATGAATGAATAATTTTTGAGTGCGTGAACGTTGTGATTGTGCCCGGCCCGCTAGTTGCGATTATATCGATTAAGGGATTACACTCTTATAAATTGCGTTGGATTGCAATAAATCAACAAACAAGAACAAGAAAAATCGCTAAGCCTGCGTGTGATATCGAGTGTACAAATTGATTTTTTTGCTAGACGTGATTTTAAGGTGAGATAAGTGCAAAACATATGTCATTTTGAATTATCTCGAGTGGTTCGAATGTAGCAATTCCTAGAATTCACCGAATACAAAGTTTAATTTATTAATATTATCTAAAAATATCATCATCAAATTTAATTTATTAATTAAAAATGTTTAATTTGCAGTAAATCGTCAAAACGTCACCAACGGCCGAAGATCACAATCTGCTAGCAATGGCTGGTTTTCTGAAGGGACCAGGACACTTCCAAACACACGCTTTATCAGGCATGCCTATGCCTGGTTTAGGACCTTTTGGATTAACACACTCTTTGGAACCGGTACCATATCCGCAAGGTAACTACATGCTCCTACACTCAAAAGAAATCATTGATTAGTAATCGTTTAATTATTTAATAACCGCGACGCATGACAACTGCACTCAAAAACTCAATAAGTGTGATTTCATTAATCATCTAGTCATTCTAATTCGTACAAATTGATTTTCTTCCGACATGTCTTTACTCTTTGAGGGGACTGAACGCGCGCTGCAGTGATAGTTGTTAGCGGAGTAACGAAGTGTTAAAAGGGTCCGCAATGTTCGTTCCAACAGCTCCTGCTAAAATCTCCTGCGCCACGAGTGCTTGGATGATTTTCGGGCGGAGTAAGTAGCACTTGGGGGTTTTCCGGAACACAATGAATACGTTGCGACACTAATAGATTTGTAAATATTATATAGGCGTGTGAATATGTGTGTGCGTAGTGTGAAATGCGACACCCTCACTGATTCAATTTGGGAATGCTCTTTTATTTTACTTTTTATTTGATATATTCTATAACGTAGAATATATAGATTGTTTGGCGTTTCTTCAGAGGTGCTGATAAATCAGTTTAATTTGAATTTATCGCCGCGGCATGGCTAATCTAGGAATCGATAAATTCGTAGCTTATGTAAATTTGTTCACATCTGAAGTTATAGATGTTGTTTATTACGCACGTCGGCAGCGTGTTTATGACATGGCGCCGGTTAACTTTCTCTACGAATAACAATCGAATTTAATTTTAACATTTATGCAATTATTTACTTATGATTTTGTTACTTTATCACCGTTTTCATGACTTTGAAGCCTTCTAACCGACTCTATACACAAAAGAATTAGATCCTACAGGGTTTCTTTGCAAACGTGCGCACGGTACACACGCGTCATCACTTTTATTTTATCATTACGTAATCTAAGCACAAATTAATACTTGTCGTGTGTGTGTCACAAAGAAGAAATTTCATTCCGCGAGGAACCGCCTGACAACATATTCATGACGCTAGTGCGTACATCAACTGCGCGCCCTGCGCAAGCATTATTTATAATTTTCTGTCAACTCTACGCTCGCTTTTCATCTCCGTTTAATCCCCATGTAGCATCGTTTTGGGGCGAAAATATACTGCGCGCAGGGTTATATCTGTATCGCGCGCGCCGGGGAAAACTGGTTAGGACGACGTCGGACGCGCAGAGTGGATGTGCGGAGGGTAGTTGCGTCGAGGGTAGAAGTGCTATGTCAGTGCTGCGCGCTGCTGAAGTTGAGCCGATTACAGGGGCGGCGGGTGGTTTTTCCCGTTGGCATGGCGACGCCGCTTTCCTACACGCCGAGCGCACAAACATTGCGAGCGCCCTCGAGGTTGCGATATACCCGCGAAGAGCCTGGGCTACCGGGCCACCGACGGGCTTTTCCAGACCACTCATCATGTAACATTCATGTATACGTGTGTATGTGTGTGGGTGTGCGTTGGATGCAAGTTTGGAAATTGTATTTCGGCGGCCAAAATTTACTTCGGGACAATATCCTTAAGCCCGATAAAAGCATGTGCATCACAATGTTGTTATTATTATAAAATCGGCGTGTCTTATTCGTTGGAGTTTTTCAGCTCAATGACACTGTGTTTCATTGTTTCGAAAAGTTGCGTCGGCGCGTCATTAAAAATGTAAAATTATTCAAATTGCATTATAAGCGAAGGAAAACAATCTCGGGCGGTTGTGCGTTGATTTAATTAAAAATTTAGATTGAATCTCCGAGTGGAGCTGGGGAATATACAACAAGCGTGTGCGCGTCGTGTTGGATGTTGTGTTGGGTTTTAACGCGGCGGGCACCAAGTGCCAAAATTCACACTAGAACGCAAACAGAACAAGGGGGATGCCGCATCCCCATTTGTCCTGCTAAAAAAGCGCCGCGAGCGCCGCACTCGTTGACTCTCAAACTTCAATTTGCTATCCATCCATCCCGTGAGTGTATTTTGATAAATTAGCAAGTGTGTTTGCGGCGATGCTCGCAGGACACCCCCTCGTTGGTATCTCTTAATGCAAACACTTGCCAAGTTAAAGGGGGCGTTAAAATAACAAACACGTCGCCAGCGGAGAGGGTAAAGCGATATCTTTTTCCGCCGCCGTGTAAACACAAACATTTTATCCTCGCGTGCTCGGTTTCGTTTCTGTTTCGTTAATAATCTCGGGAGCGGTCGTAAATACTGATTAATATTAGACACGCAGAATATGGGACAATTTGGGATATACGAATCGCGCGGGCTACCGGTCTTGGATTTTATCTGTTATGTGTATTTTATGAGTGGAGCTGGACGAGCGCGCTATTATCGGTGTATTAAAACTGAAAATTCGTCGGTGATTTGTTAAATTTAAAGGTTCGGACGAGCGCATCTTGGCTGGGTGCGTCGTCCGAATGCAAATTAACGATTTTACGTCGCCCGCTGGTTTGATAAATGAGTTATTTGGATTTAAAGTTAGAATCTTAGTAATATCCAGGCCGATATTAAAGCCCAGGTGCGTCGTTTTTTCAGCTTCTCTTTATGATACGGCCTCCAATTTTGATTTTTTTATTTGTTGCCTCATAAATTCGTCTTTTAATATTCACCGTGTGGCGCGACGCTTACCACCATCACAGTGGTGATAATAAAGAATACCTTTGTCTTGTGAACGTGCATTAATTTTCGCCCAAATTCGCGAAAGAAACTTCTTAAAGCATAATGCATAGTTTGTTCATATTTTGCAGGTGTGAATCCAAGGAAACAACGCAGGGAACGTACCACATTCACACGCGCACAACTCGACGTCCTCGAAGCCCTCTTCGCCAAGACACGCTATCCTGACATCTTTATGCGTGAGGAAGTGGCACTGAAAATCAATCTGCCCGAATCCAGAGTACAGGTGTGTAAAAATTCAAATCTATTTCCTTTGTTTCTTTTTAAATTTTTATTTTTATAATTTTCGTATGCGCGTCATGGCAATAAATGTGAGGGGACGTGCGCGGGCAAATAGATGTTATTGTGCGGCGGCATTGTCGCGCAAGATGTATGGTTGTTTGTTCTGCGTAGAGTGGCTCGTAACTGCACAGCACGCATTATACGCAGCGCGCGTGTTCAGGGGCACAATGCGAGGGGCGGCTTGTTTGCTTACCCCGTAATGATTCAATTTGAAGGCTGGTTAGCCTTTTCACTTCTCACAGCTGCTGGCTGTTACAACTATTTCGCTTTTGTGTCCTTCGCAAACCCATCCGCCGAGTATCGTCGACTGTGACTTATTGATTATGAATTACGGAGGTCGGATATATTCGCATACGATTTGTGCGAACTACGGTGACCAAGTGGATTAAGTTAAGAGTTGCATCTTGGTAAAGCTTTTAAACAAACATGTACATTAATTTTATTAAAAATTTATTCAATTTTCGTACACTACAAAGAAAATAGTAGAAAAGTTAACGGTTTTTAGATCTAATATTTTGATAATGAAATTATATGAGGTATTTTTTAATCTCTAAATGAAAAGAAAGCGATTCCATCCGATTGCATACTGTAGTCACCTTAGGGGTGAACATTTCACTATCAATTTCGATTGAATTCATTCGCAGTTCTTCCAGCCAGTGGGTACCCACCCGATTCATGTTCGTATACTCAGGGCGCACTTTATGCGCGAGCACACGAATAGAAATATTGTTACTCTATAATACTCCTTTTATGACGGTATTCCATGTACGGAGGGTTTTTATTATAAAAGGTAGAAGGCGGACTGTTTTCACGGAACAACCCTACATAATCCTCGAACTAATGGAAAGCTACCCCACGTTGCTGCCATTGTGTTATTCTAGTGAATAAAATATATACGCACACAGTTATTTCGTTGCGGTGAAAGATTTAGCGTTAGAGGAGCCGAGGGGAGTCGTTCCCTCTACACGACTGCGTGACGCGCTAATAAAACGCATTAATTTTGATTGATGCACGTCACAACTTTCGCAATGGCGTCGTCTGCAGACCAGCGATAATAACTCGGCATTTTCTGCTTGTATGTTTCCAGGTCTGGTTTAAAAACCGTCGTGCAAAATGCCGGCAGCAAATGCAACAGCAGCAGAACAGCAAACCGTCGAATACGACCTCACGACCCGACACGACACCACCAAAAACGAAGCTTCCAGCGAAGGGTTCACCAGTGGTGCCTGCTACCATTGAAACACCGCCTGCTGCTTTCCTACCCAGACCGTCCACGTCCGTCTCGCCGCCGGTGGTGAACGTCAAGAAGGAGTCGCCACAGATGCCCAACTACAAGACAAATGGTAACCTCACGCCGTTGGGCAGCAACACAAGCAGTGTGATCACAACACCTTCGCCGCCGATCACGCCGTCCAGCAATCCTCCATTGACCTATCAGTATGATTCGTACAATTCCTTCACAAACTGGCATAATGGTCACAACTCATCGCCACACTACTACGGCCAGAATTATAATCATGCCGCCGCCTATGGTCAGATGGACTACTTCAACCAACAGTCCGGTCAGAATCAAATGCAGATGGGTAATCACATGGGCAGCACCTACCAGATGGGCGGCTATTCGGCGATGAGCATGGCCGCCACGCATCACTCCAACTTTTGCCAAAGAAATTGTGAATGCAGTTTGGACTACATGAATCAGGCTGTTTGAACTTCGACGAGCTGGCAGTCGTCATCGAATCTCATTCCGGACGAGACACGTGAACCTAAACGAACGAAAGCATGATTTTATGTCCGACGGCGTAAAACAATAAACTGGATTGTGCAGTATATAAATTATGTGTAGTTTAAGTGTTAATTGCAAGCAGACGCAGCTGAATATCGGGATCTAAGTACAAATCTGCAAAAACGGATTCATCACCTTACCAACGACAATCGAAACAGCGTAAACAGCGAATTGCATTATGTTGTCCAACGATATATTCATAATATTATACGATGCGAATAACCTCGAGATATAATATTATCACATATATCGCTTTTGTGCATATCAGGCAAAAACACAAAACAAAACCGCAACAAAAGTCACAAACGTGCAGGTTGAATCTGTACCGAATTATAATTTATATATCTAATTTAATAATTGCATTGAACAATTTTTATTGTACATAAAATCTTTTAAGCTTAGGAAAGAACTAGATGGTTGTGTATATTATCAGAAACGAATTTTGCGCCTAATTGAACTTGACGGCACTAAAACTGTGTTTTAGTTAGAACTATTTTCAATATTACACTGGTTTTTTTTTCGCTCGAAACGTTGACAGTTAAAACCGCATACGAACAAAAAAAAAGAATGAGCATGACGCATTAACAATTTATGTATTTGCAAAAAATTAATCTGTTGTTAATCCTCTATACCTACAAACAAAATTGCAGAAAAAAATAATAAAAAAACACGCGGCGCTAAATAAACAAAACTATCAACAACTGGAAATGCAAACTATTCTTTATACAAAAACAATGCAACAAAACAATTAATATCTACATACTCAACTTGAGCAAGGAAATACAAATTAGAAACGAAACTTGTAAATTATTATTATGTAGCTTATATTATTATTTACTGTATATATTTATAGAAATTTATCACATTTATTCGAGTGCATAATATAGATATGAATTATAAAAACAAATAAATATGAATAAACTTGAATCTTTAAAACTAAACATGTGTTGTAGATTGATGAAAAGACGCTTTTTCTATTCGGTACTGTCAGCGTGGTACGCTGTTATGTTTTTATTATTTTTTAGGTTTGGTTGGATATGGACTAAACACGAATGACCGCAATTCTTTACTTTTATATTCGACAACACCGCACGGTAAATTTTAATAACTCGCCAGATGGCGTTAGATGCCTTACAAATGAATAAAATTCCACATCAGGGTCAACTGCTTACTATCGGCTTAGTAACTTATCGGTCAACACATTTATTGTTGATTCGATGTTCGTGGGTAAACCCAGAGCCGAAGATTGGCACACTGTCTGTTTGTAAACAATAAACTGGTAAATTAAATGCATAATAATTTATTTTTATTTGCTGTTAATGCAAATAAAACTGATTTTCTACATGATATCTATAATCCTTTTGATTTTATATCCCCATTTTCATTTATTTGTCATTATAGAATATATGAAACTAAAAACCAAATATCATTCATCGGAATGATTTAGTAATAGTACGCTAATAATAATGACGAATGCAATTCATATAGATATATAATGGGGAAACCGATATTTATGTTTGTAATAAAAACAGTTTTGTCCTCTGGGATAATATTCCGAAATATTTGCGAATGAATGTGCATTTGAATATGAAATAATATTATTTCACTAAATCAAAATAATCCATCGAAAATTAAATTATATTTTCATAATCTGCGATCGTGCAATACTCGAAAATTTTATTCAATTTATTTATTTCGCTAGTATTACCTACGCTGAATGCGTGTTTGATTTATATTTATTCAATGGTTCAACGGTGAAGTAATTAAATGGAACGATTCAATTACTTTTTTAAAAATATTGTATTCAATGGATTTTATTTGGGTTAGTATAATTTTACGTGTTATATTTGGAAAGTTGGACCTCACGTGATTTTTCCATTCTCTTTTTGAAATCGAAAGTTATTTATTACCCAATTTCGATTTTGACAAATGTTCAGATCATTACAATAGCACCTGCGACCACATTTCGGCACACAAGAAGAATATCACAGGTAACAACCATGGAGACTGAGTGCCCGAATAAATTTGGAAGTACGTTTCCGGTCAAACTCTGAAGGTGGTGATTTTTGATTCCCACGCCATCCTCCATTGAAAAGGCACAAAACTAAAATAATATTGCATGTAATTTGTTTGTCCTGGATACAGGTAGGTATAAATAAAGAATATTTATTACCCACGCATCTATCTAAACCTCAGGAGATGCAACCCAAACAAATAGACGTAGACAATTTGTGAATCTTTATATTATTTGGAGGAAGTGATACAAACGTATCTTTCACGCGTTTAATATCGCGGTATTCAAAAATGTGGGAAAAGATTTCGAGGAATATTGTGGAAGTGAATAAAATAGATCACTAATGAAAAGGTAGTCGGCTGTACTTCCGGATAAAGTCGATGCCGGCAGTCAATCGTATCAGGAATTCATATCGGAATTGAGATAAACACGCGTACGGCTAATGAGGAAGGCACGTGCGCAACCTTGTGAAGTGTAAGTACAAACGAAGTGACGTTTATCGACACGCGCCATTGTCTATTTTAAACGAATTGACCAGAGTGTTTATCTACAGGTTTCCTGTTTTATAACTGCACTCTAAATAATTAAACACAATTTTTACTTTTATGTATTCGGTGCCTATAATTTTCCTGTCAGCAAATTATTATGAGTATATTAAGAGTACATTTGCAAATTGAATCTTTATAGCATATAAAGCACTATTGAAACCTCGTATTGTCGGTCTGATAAGAGTTAGATTAGTGTGCCATCCCGTGGACAGACAAGGGGCACGCGGCGGGCACGTGTGTATTGTTGGTTTAGATTAATTTGGGGGCACGCATTCAATCAAACGTCGTGGTATCGTATTTCCATCGCTGCGCGTCGGGCTCTGGTGGCTGCAGGACGCCTTTTGTTTGTTCTTCCACACGCACTCCGTCTCCCATTCCGTGATGCACCAGATAGCCTTTTAATTCATTGAATTCGGTGCGTTTGGATGGTTTATTCCGCAAAATTAATTCTTCAAACAAATACGAGTCGGTACCGGCGTGCGCACAAGTTGTATTCATTGGGATCGAATTTCTTTTAGTTTAGATTTTGTATCTTGTAGCGGAAACAAGCAAATGGACACTGTTTAAAACCAATTGAATTTTATTATTGAATTATTTTTTACTTATTTGTTATATTTGCGGTTTTGTTATTTAACAGATTAACACTTAATTGTTAATTTGAAATCTCAAAACCGTAGATTGTTGTAAGTGGAAGTCTTCTTATTTGTTTTTAATTTTCAGTCGATACAAGTTTGACGTAATAATATTTTTTGCCGAGTAAAATTTTTATTTTTTAAAATTTTGATACTTGGTCCATACTAAAATATAATAGTTCTGGATGAGTTGCTGATTGTGCCACAGTTATAATGCCATTACGATGGTTATCGCCGAAAAGCCGGTAAATTGCAATCCGACGCTGCGAGCATCCTTCTAATCCGTTGAATAATGTGGGAAGAAAATCGTTCTTTGTCGAAAGAAGCGAAAAATCGCCGCGCACACATTTAGCGTTACACATATAATTGCGGATTCCGGGTGGCGGACACAAGCACACAAGGGTGAAAATGCACAATTGCATAAAATTTCCTGACAATAGCAGCGCTAAAAAAAGCGCACCGATAAATTTCTCGTCCGGATTAAAAGAAAAAAAGTCAAAGAGACAACGCAACGCCTGCGCCTATCGTGAACCATTCGATGCATGCACGTAAATCCAATTTAGGATTTACAATATTCGACCATAATAGTTTTTTCTCACTTTTCGTTTGATATCCGGTCATAGTTTTACTGCAAAACGACCACAGACTCCCAACCCACAAGCGTGATGAATCTACACCCAAACAACTCATATAAAAGGGAAGATGTTCACGATAAATTACTTCTTATACGTTATAAAACGATATTTATTATTGTACCAAGCTTAAACACCCAAATATTGTAAATTATGACTTCCGAAGGCAAAACAAACAAAAAAATTCTTTATCTCGTGATTTAATTGCAAGATATTTTGATACAACTGTCAACATCTCTCGCTAATTGTGATACCACCTGTTCTATTATATTCGCTAACGTATGCACTGCATTTGCTAATTATTTGTGCAACGTTTCAATTTGAGGGTGCGCTCATTGCTACAATCTGGTCGGTGGTATCCATAGGATAAATAACTTCATCACATCTGTCACGCTGACTTGTACATACAATGCCTAGCAGGACTATTAGCGGCTTGTATCAAAGCCAAACTAAATCCAGGATCGACTACTGCAAAGACAATGTTCTAAGCTAAAGCACAATCAATTAAATTAGTTGAATATAAATGTTACATTGTGGTTTTGATTTATTTCCATTTTTGACTGGCCGGAAAAGATTTTTTGCCGCTTGCTGTGCGCACGCCGCATAGTGGTAATCTACACCCTTATAAAATCTAATATAGGGCTAGAGCTAGGCATGTGGAGTAATAAATTTGGATTTAAATACGGGGACGCGCTGACGGCCGCATAAAGGTCCCGACCCGTCGCTGATAATACTCCGGTCTCGCTACTGTATTCTGCTGACCGGAAACATCCACTTTTTTACGAGGCCAGCTCGCTGAAGGAAAAATATCCGTCGCTTCTTTACAAAGTGAGCGCGGGCGAGCGTTTGCTCACCCTGCACATATCACTGCAACGCACACCACAGCGGTGGTAATAATCGAATGATTTAAAGTTTAGCAATCAAAGCAATTGTTTCTTGGCGCGTTCGTAATACAATCAGAACAATCCAATTCGCGTTCAAATGCTCACTGAAAATTGTCTAGTCATTTTTAAATAACACACGATTTTGTTTGATCTTTTCACTTTATAGTTCTAATTGAGCTTGAATTGCCTATTATAAATTCGTGTAAGAAGTTGTAATTTACAAAGAAGTCATTGAGTTAAAATAATTTTAATTTTGTTTGGTGTATTGGCTTCTGTGAAAAATCGAATATCAAACTCACAATAAAATCGATACCTGTGCTTAGATGACTGGTAAATTTCGTTGTTTAGATGTAAGCGGCGATACATTTATGCAATGAGCTCAGCCCAAGGAAGAAACTCTATAAAGGTATTACAATTAGAGGACAGAGGCGTGCTGTGAGGGATTAAGGACGATGTAATCAGGATTCCTTGTTCGATGCAGACCCCACTGGGACAAAACCATGACTATAATATTTTTATATCAAATTCGAAAACGTTGACTTTTGGAATGTTGCTTTTTTTCATAGAACAGAAGCAGATTCAGATATTTTAAAATAATTTTTAACACATTTTATAGTCTGTAGTCTAGTTTATACATGGTATTGATCTTTACTAATAGCGTATTATTGCCGGTGTTAAGTTACACAATCAATAGACCACCCTTGATGGCAGAAGCACCGTGAACGTCCCCGCGCATCGCATGTCTTCACGCTTAGACGTCCATGTCAGACTTAGGTGCACACTCCGCCACCGAACGCAACTTGTTAAAACGGAATGTGCAACGAGCGCGAGGGTAAGTACTAATGGTCGGTGCGGAGATTTGTGCCGAAGTAATTTTACGGTTCTGCTGATGAAGACATTTCCCAAGCGGCCTGCCTACATTCTCTTGCTACGGCGGCAGACGCGTTGCGACGTTATTCAATCCTTGTGGTCCTCGAAGGGAACAAAAAAAGGAAATATTTTTGGACCAGCTGATATTGAATTATATGACAGATGGTGGAAATTACTTTGAGTAAAGTGGAGTGTGCAACTGCAAAATTTGCGCGTTTTATTCACGACACACTATTTGTGTCTTTGTTTCGAAAATATGATTGCATAATATTATTCTGGGACATTGGGAAAAATCTTAAAAGATACAAAGACCAGAAATAAAATTTATATAGTTTTTACATGGCATTTCTAAGTTTTGGGGGATTTAGAGAACAAAGAATCTGAATATTTATACAAATTTTCGCACAAATTTAATTCAGAACTATATTCTAGTCGCAAATGTCTGATAACCATTCTCATCATAAATATTACAAATAATCATTGTTTTTTTTTGTGGTGGCTGAAGATGCTTATGTTTTTCTGCACACAGCGAAGGTAATTGTATATCCTGATCTCTTGGGAAATCGCCCCTCATGTCTATTCCCTCCAGTGCGTACCACATTAACCAGTGATTAGATATCCATTTGGTCGGGAGCTATATGAAATTTAATCTGATACTAGCAGCGCGTATTTGATGCTCCCAGCACAATAATTGCTTTGTAAATTGTTTATGTTTGCTTGTGGTGACCGTCAAAAGCTTTCCGGTTGTGCCGCAGGACACTCCAAGCCCGCCGCCATCGATAGGCTTCCTCACATGTTCACATATATCTAATAACACAAATATGTTAAGCTTTATTGTTAGATTTGCTGGCGTCTTTGCGTTCAGAATTTATAGGGCCAATATAAAAACACAAAATTGACTCAGTTTTAATATGTTCTTCAATAATTTAATATAGGCATGTAATTAAACGAACTTTATTTTTTCGATTTTTAACTTGTCAATTCATTAAATGCACTTATAATTAATGCTTGCACTTAAAAATACAGAACTGAACTTAAAATAAATATTTGAACTTTGAAAAATAATTCCACTTGAATAAAATGCTTTCCACTATGAAATTAATACTTTGCACTTATAAAACTGGCAGTACTAAGTACGTGCCGTATTCTTAACCAAACATTCGCCAATAGAGCGCGCCACTATGCATTAGTCAACTGCAAAACTGCAAAATGTCAAACATCCTCCTATACGTGCTTGCATTCTTCCTCTGCAGTAGGAAATATATGCATGGCGGATAAGAATTGTTTACTTTAGCGTGCCACGTATACAGTTGATAAAATATTTTTGGCACTTTATCAAAAGTACCATCGCCATATATTTCCTCTTGATTCAATTGTATTAACAATGATCTATCTCCCAAAGAAAAAATAAAGTTCGTTAAATTATATGTCTTATAAAACTTGCAGTATTAAGTACGTGCCGTACTCTTTACCGGCCCCTTCTATCACCCTCCCCACCCCCACCGCCCCACAAATAATACCAAACAAGGTAGTCTACCTAACCACCACCCCAACCCCCGACCGCCCGACAAATAATACAAGACAAGGTAGCCTACCTAACCACCACAAATTATAAAGTTTCAATTTAAAAAGTTGATTCAAAACAAATTTAAGCTTAAACCTGAATATATAAGTGCATTGTGTTAAAATATAAGTTATACAATCTATAGTGCATAATATGAATTTCTTAGTGCAAAGTATGAAAACTTAAGTGCGGCTGTTCAAGTGGATTGTATTTAAACTAAAGTGCATTTAATATATCCCCTTTAATATATGACATGTATCATAATCATCTTTGGACGTATTGTTGCGTGTATATGAAAACATAATTACATTGTATAAAGTGACAAGTATAACAAGACATAACAAGGTATTGTACGTTTTTAAATTCAAGCAGTCGAATAATTCAGAACGTGAATGACTGAACTTGCACAGCACCATTGATGGCATTGACTTTGCTGGCAGTTAAAGCAGACGCATTGAGACGTTCGTGGTGAAATAGTTTCAAGTCATCAAAGCTTGCACATTTTAACTTGATGTCCGACGCGTTGCCATCTGGAAACCTGTCATAACAAATTTAACAGGTATTCAGAAATATTCTGTCGATCTTGATACAGAGATCATAATATGAAGTGGAATATTGATCGCGGTGGGACATTTGGGAGACATAAAAGAGTCACCTTTTTTTTTTCAAAAAACTTCTAAAACCTTTATAATATTCCGAACATGAAAAATTAGAATCGATAAGGATTATGCATATTTAAACAGCAGTCCAGTTTCGGGGGAGAATCTGAAAATTTTGTCGTGCAGGAAGCAACTCAACGACTTTCACATTTCGTCGTTCGCAATCAGAAAATCGCTCTCCAAACGAAAATATCCTGCAGGGGCTGCAGGAATCGTTCTCCTTGGCGGCATAATCCCACACTTGTATCTCGCTCCCTCCTCCACCTCCGGAGATGAGTGTGCGTGTCGCTCGATGCGAGGTACGCACTCGAACACATCGTGTTTTGTTGGCTTGCCTTGTTGCATGCTTTCGGAGAGAGTGCTTCGTCGTTGCCGCCACCGCTACTGCCGTTGCCGTTGGTAGCGAGCCGCTGCGAGTCCCTGTCGCAACTCGCGCACCAGCAGCATCCACGACTTATCTCGCGCGCGTACCGCCGAATTGATTTACGATAGGCGTCGTCGCATTGGTGGATAAGTTTCCATGTGATCACGCAAGCGCTGGCGGGGCGTCGTCGCGTAGGCGGCTGAAACAAAGGGGAGGCGTATATAACAACAGACAATTTTCTGGTGCGCGTGGATCGCCGCCGAGGACCCACGCAGAATTATTTACGTGCTTTTTGGTGCGCGCTGATATGCCTCATCGAATTTCATGCGTCAATTAAAACCCAACATAAGAGTGTTTATTTTATGCTGGCCTTAATAATTCAATTTATTGTCTTTGTACATTTGGATTATTCCTGCAACAACTTCTCTTATAAGTAGGAGTATAAAAAACGTGGTTGCATTTTATATTTAGTATGATGTGCAATAAATAAATTCATGAAAAAATATTTGTAGGAGTTGAGCGCATTGATGAACAGCAATTTCCGTTTAATAACGTTGTCGGTACAACACACCACATCCGGAACTTCAAAAATCCCAGCTTACACCACTTCCTGGCAGCGGATTTAATTTTTTACGATTTCCAGCGATCGCAGACAGCAAAGAAAACAACAGCCCTTGCACCGCCTGGCATGCCATAAAAAGTTGATACAATTAGCTGGTTTAAACTATAAGCGCCACACAGTAGAAGTGGTTTGTCAATAAGTTATGAAGTCATAATACTCTGTACGCGCAGCGAAGCATGGAAAGTAAAGAAACTTGTTGCAAAACAAACTTTTTTGCCGAGCGCGCTGCCGCCAATTATTGCTCTCCATGCTGCTGCTCGTGCAAGTTTTATGCGCTAGCGTAAGTCGATCGTTTAAATCTATTAGATCCTCAATGTTTGGATTAAAGGATTGAGGAAGCTCCTGATTATGATAATGTTAGCGATATTGGTGGATATAGACAGATCGTGAATCGAACGACCAACTAAGTCGCGCGTAAGACGCGCGTCGAGTGAACGTTCGAAGAGCTTTGCTAAAAGACACATAAAAGCTTTTATTGATGTAAAATGCTCTCTCTGGAACTGGAAGAGAGGAGAAAAACACTCTGGCGGTTCTAAATCTCTGACTCAACTTTTCGCATTGCTCGGTGATCGTCTCTTTCTGCGCTTCTGTGCTTACTATTTTCCAATTATGGCGATGGCGACGCCGCGGAGCGCGTCTTGTCGCATTTTATGGTTGTTGTTATCGGAGCGGCGAGTCGATACGGGACTGCCGCCGCCGCCGCCGCGGGATAGGACCGTTGGCGGCGGCGCGCGTGGTGCGTGGTAGTTTTTCCGTGGAAAGCGTGTATGCTGGGGGCGAGCGGTGGTTGGTGCAGAAAGCGGCGTGCGGCTCGGCGAGACGGAGCAGGAGCAGGAGCAGGAGCGACAGAGGCAGGCGGCCCCTGTAGTCGCGGCCGGCGCGCCGGAGAGCAGGCCGAAGAAGATGGCACGGTGCAGCAGTTGGGATGCGCGCACGTCACTGCGAGGGCGTGGTCGGGGGGCCAGAGTGAAAAGTTAGGATCAATTCTACTTATTTAATACAGCCTTCGTATTAGGAGCGTGTATATAGTTAGGAATCCACTGTAAACCGATTTGCGCTAAACTCGGGGTTTTATCTACACTAAGTACCGAGGCTTAACTCGCATTGTGTTTGACTAAGTGAACAAATAGATGGAGTGATATTTATTGACTTTCTATATTTCGAAGAGTTTTTCGGAAAAACGCCGACGCGAGCGCAAAACCATCAACGGATACTTTATCGAGGACGCCGCCGAGTGCGAGGTGAGTTTTCCATTTTGTTTTTCACGATGCCAGTGCAAATGGCTGCGACAAAAACCCAATCCGAACCGATACGGAATTATCCTTTATTTACGAGTACGCGTCGTGTTGTGTCTGCGAATTTATTGCCAACTTCGAAGAACTGTGCAACGTTTTACCTACTTGTTTTTGTTTGTTATAAATCCACTTTATAATTTCTGACAGTGATAAAATTTACGATTCTCAATACGAAAACATCAAAACACCGCAAACTACAAACATCACTCTAAGAATCCTTAATTTTGAATAGCAGCAGTGTGAAATTTGTTGAAGTTTTTATTTTTTATCAACTGTGTGTTGAGTTCGAGTGATATGTTAACAATACTCGCTCGAAATACGCAGCGGCATCGGGTTCGTAAAAAGCGCTGGGGATCCGGATTAGAAAAAGAAGCAGAATTCATATAAGACGATTAGTTTGCTAGTAAATCCACGGATCCGGCAAAGAGTATTATCATCATATTATGATTCTATTGGATTTAACTTGTGCCGTTTCGGAACAGCGTCAGTTCAACATCGTCGCTCTTCAGCTTCGCACAGCGACGCGCGAATTCAATCGCAAATTACCATCGCGGCACGCTGTCATCGATTGTGCACATCGTGAAACACTTTAATACCACACCATTTACTTCAACAACAATTGAAACTAGTCTAAAGGAAAAATGAGAGCTGCGAAATGTAAGTTAGTGATCGTTTACTTTGTGTGAAATTATTGTGAATTGAAGCAAAGTACCTGCGAACCCAATCAATTCAAACATCAAACATGAATTCACAATTCGTCGACGCATCAATCTGAAAAATAAGTGCAAAACTTTTTGACTTTCGATACGGTTTCCTACTTAACTTTTTCATCTAAATTTCTCCTTCAAAAAAACCGCCGCTGTTGCGGAATTTTTCGTTGCACGCTCGTTGGCTGCTACAAAGCTTTCATGCGTATTTGAACTTGGAGCGTGTACGCATCGTGCGGATCGATAAAGAAAAATATCGTTTCACTCGGATAACTTTTCAACGAGCGCATCATTAGAAACGAATTCGAGCGCCGGATCACAACGTCAAAAGGACTCGGTGCGCATTGTTACCCGCCGAATCACAGCCGAGAAGAATCACAAAAGGAAATGCGAAGAAAAGGAAGACCTTCCTGTGTAATATATGTGTGAGTGCATGTGCGTGCTCTTTCCTTCGTGCGAATCTGCGAACAGATGCGGAAACTTCGTACAGGCTCGCACCCACTATTCACGCGACGATTATGGACAATGATATTATCGTTACGTCTGAGGGAGGACGCAAATTGAATTTAAAAGGCGAAACTTCAAATGCGTTTCGGGAATCATTCGCCCAAATTAACTCAGTGCGTAAAGCAAGAGGGTGATAAACAGTCAAGTTGAATTTGATATGAATTAAATAGAGTAGAATTTAATTTGGTAACTTTTCAATTATTCCAAAACAAATGACTTTCCATAACTCAATCAACCATAGAGCGCGCAAATATGAACAAGCTTAGAATAATTTACTCCTTTGTATACAAATATAACTGGATGTCCGTCAGCACAAGCTGAGCATCAACTGTGTGCTACTGTGCATTGTGCGCAACTAGAAAGCTTTCGGTTAATTAGCGTTACAGGTTGGTAAGTACCTCAACGCGCAACACGACTTTAATCTCTCAACTCGCGAGGCTGTCATAAACTAAACCATTTGCTACAAACAAGTCGCCGCACAATGCATTATTGTGATTGCAACAATCCACGCGACTTTCATCGCGCAATTACAAGACGAACGAACGAACATGCTGTCAAGTACGTGCTAAACAAATATTAATAATCCGCTAACGGGCTGGCTAGCCGGCAATTGAGTATTTATCACTCGCCGCATTGATTAAACACAATGAGCGTGAAGGTATTAGATTCGCTCGGGGCGAAACTGAACACTGAAGCTTTCGTGTGCTTGCTCGTACAAGGGTGAAACGTATATCTACGCGTAATATATATTACATGCTGGTCGGTGCATGTCGGCTGCGATTCATTTCGAAAAGTTAATAAACAAGCTCGAGCGAGCACAAACAGTGGCGGGCGCTATAGTTGTGCATGTGCGCCGCGAATATAACCACTTGAAAAACCACAGTCAAGTCAAGTCTGCGAAGGGGTTTTTGTTAGACCTTTGTGCGGCGATGCAATTGCCCTTTTGGATATTGCAACGGCATATTTCGGGCGCGCCTTTTCATATCTACGAAAAGAAGATTTGCTTTTGCCAGGTCCTTGTGATATGAAACCGAGGACTGAAGAGATGCACATGCAAACACTTTGCAAAGCATTGCGGTTTGTGATTCGTCAGACATTTTTGGACTGGTTAATATCTCTCCTCCGTTGGTGGAATGCATTTTGTGATCTTTTTTTTTTGTTTTATGCATATTATTAACCGTTTTCTCTTATTTTCAGGCACGATTTTAGATGTGGCCCAACAGTTTAACGGCTGGGTAAGTCTCTCAACTTGTTTTTAAGTCGCCATTTTGATTCTCGAGCAAAAAATATAATTAAAGAGTTATTTGTATTCGTGTAATTTTAACCAACCGTCTGAGCAGGTAATTGTAAAACCGTGTTGTAATTTGAAACAATCGACTTTAAGATCTATAGATCTGAGATTCTTTGAAAGGGATTTAAAAAACTGACGCGGATTAATCCACACATTGGATGTACGTAACAAAGCGAAGAAAAAAGTGTCATCTGAAAATCTTCAATCTTTCGGTGTCCAATTGCACTAACAAGACGCGTTGATAACAAACACACAAAAAATAGTCTATATTATAAACAAGGAGCCACGAGAATATAAAGAGCATTCGATTGAGAAATAAAAACTTTGTGAAGTAAGTGTGTTGTTTGGCCCTTATTGTGTCAGCCAGCAAGAATCAAGTTTCGGTCACACCCTTGGTGAAGGACGCAGGTCTAAGCTTTACGGGCACCTCGTCATCGCTGCCAAAGAGCGACACAAAAGCACAAGACGTCACATGCAAGTAAAGGGAGATTAGGAAGAGATTAAAATTCATTTTCGTATCGGGCTAATGTTATAATATTCTTGTTTTTATCTTTTTATATGCGCAGGCTCGTGATTATCATTGTGGGCACAAGGCGTCAAGATATGCATATAATAACACCTCCTAGTATTTCAATCCAGTTGACATCTTCAACACGACCAACACCTTTTCAATAATGACGGGTTTGGTGAATGTTGAATCTTTGAAAACGTTTCAACATGTTTTTAAACTCCTTTTAATGTTTTCTGAGATGTAGGGTTTTCGAAAAGGCGAAATCACAAGTTGCAAATTGCAACTCACTTATCTTGGGCGAGCAAAAGTTAGGGTCCTTATCTACGAAACACTGAATACGGAAAACACTCATACACGCGCCCGGATTTATTGAGTCGCACATGCTGCGACTACCCCTCGAATTAAACCCTGGTGTGCTATTACCACGCTACTTTCGTCGTCCCCCCGGCTTATATGTTTTCACGCCATACAGGATGATCTTCAAACCGAAGCAACGTTACAAAAACTTATGAATATAAAATAGAATTTTTTTGATTTTGGATTCTTTAGTCTAAACACTAAAACAATACTTTCTTAGAAGTATCAGATTATTTTTAAAGTAAGTTTACTAGTGTGGTAATATTAATAGCAAATCACTCAGTATCTAAACTGATTATTTGGGTTGTGGGCCATCAAAAACTAACATCGATAAGTAACGACCCTTGAAAAAACTCTGAAACGAGACAATTCTATTAGAGCAACGTGCGCGGATGTTTATTGTTTTACGTACACACGTCCGAAGCATTTTATCAGTATGAATAATTTAAAGCATCCGCACTATAAGTCCCATTAGCCGTTTAGCCAATTGTATCCCTCAAAAGGGAAACAGTACCGAGAAATACACTTTGGCGGCGTGGCGCCGCAAAGAAGTGTTTACTCAATGTGTGGGCATTTAAAAAAGCATTAAAGTGACCGATTCTCGAATGCAAATGAAGTGCGAATTGCCACACACAAGCACAATTCATGATGGTTTCAAACGAACGCGCGGTATACTTGACAAAGTCTCTTTGCGCGCGCGCCGCCGCTAGCATCCTTTTGTCGAACTGTCGTCGCTCAAATCACCGAAACTTTTGTGTAAAAAAGCCCAAGCGTAAAGATGAGCAGCTATGTATATTATTTGGTATTTTCGAGTTGTGTGATTTGCCGGAGACAGCATGGAGCCTCCGCCGCTGTTAGTAAATCCCTTAAAGGAACCGATAGTTGTGGACCGGCAGCGTAGAAAAACCTAGTTACTCTCGATTCAAGAAGCAAACTATACGACAAACATGCCGCCGCCACCACCACGATAGAAGAAACTTTCCGCCAAGCGGACGTAATGAATAGCTGAAAGTTTGAAAACTACTTTTGATTAGGTTTTTAATCCGCAGCGAATGCAACGGACTCGGGGATTTTAGGCTGGCTTGTATTTATATACAAAAAACGTTGTACAACACTTTGTGGGGTCAGTTAGAGATTCTTTGTGCCCCCAGTTGATGCAAAATATATGTCTGTTTGTACATATTTAAAAGGATTGTGCCAATTAGTTTAGTAAAGCTTTGCAGATAGAGCACTCGGGGCTCGTAGGTTGCACGTTGAGCATCGTTAAGGGCGAGGGTGTTGCGCTGGCAGCCGGCAGTGGAGAGATGGATTTAATGATCATTGCTGATAAGGTTAATGATGCGCCATTAACGGGTGCTCTTGTTGGTTTTCTCTTGATGCAATTCGCCGCGGTGGCACAAAGGAATTAAATCATATCTATTATATCAAGTGGACGACTGTTCTCTTCACGTTTAATCATCAAATTAAACTAGGTGCTACTTCAACATTTGAGACGATTGCGCTCTATGCTTTGAAAAGTTTTGACACATTTTGTGTGTAATGTAGGCATTGTCTATGTTGTTTGTTGGGCTTTCAGTTGCAACCCGGAGAGCGAGTTGTCATTCACGGGCTTTGGCGCTTCGTGTGGCAGCGGCTCGTCGGCAGGTATGGCCTATCTCAAATCGGCTCCTTATCCAGTACCCGGATTAGGATTGCATGGACTCCCCGTCGAATCTCTGCACGGCACAATGGGTTACCCTGGAGGTAAATATTCACAGTACATGGGTATGTGTGCCATGTGATTTTTAAAATATTTTTATACAACCTATTGAATATCCGAAGAAGCTTTTGATAGCATAACGATCATATTCTATTCTAGTAGACCGTTGCCAAAGAAACGCATCTACATTTTTTAGTGAGCAAATAAAATCACACTTGTTGATATTATAATTTAATTTTAAAACGGTTACAAAATAATGTAGATACCTACCTACAGTAATAACTGCAAACAACACTTTAGAATATTAATTTTCACGCCATGCCTACCGGGCATTAATTAAGTTAACGTACGCATCAAGAGTCGCCTCTAGTCATACTTTTCAATTCGTTGATGGAACGCCGCGAACAAGAGATTTGTTTAATCCCAGTCTTGTGTCTGTTTTCGAAGGTAACCAAAGGAAGCAACGTAGAGAGAGGACGACATTCACCCGAGCACAATTGGATGTGCTGGAGGCGCTTTTCGCCAAGACTCGTTATCCCGATATTTTTATGAGGGAAGAAGTCGCTTTGAAAATTAATTTGCCCGAGTCCAGAGTACAGGTAAGTCATACCTACTACACTCAGCTGAAATTTCAATCACAAAGAACACGTCTGAATATCTCGACGGATTCCGCACACAAAGTATTCAGCATTAACTTTGCGTTTTTATTATGTTTTTGCTTTGAAGAAAAGAATTGAATAACCATCACTTTTATATGGGGTTTCAAGTTTTTTTATCAGTTGTTAAAAAATTTATACGTAGACGGTGGTCTACACTTTGTTTTTATTACCGTAACTAGCTTTAACCCGCGACTTCGCTCGCGAATATCTAAAATAATGAAGTTGCTTCCGTACGCGTCTGTAGTCACTGAAGAAGTAACAATGATGTAGAATGGCGGGAAGTTTAAAATGGCTGAAAGTATAGTCTATGGAAGTATAGTGTACATACAGTCTCCATAGTGTAGTCAATTGGATTTGATGTTGACGTAGCTGTCGGTAATACAGTGTGATAATACAGTGTGATGGTACTACAGTACTTAGGTTTGAGCTTCATTGCTGGAATGCTAGATAGCGTTAAAGTACTCAAATAGCCAGATGCAGAGGTATTATTGGCTAAACAATTTCTTTATTTTATTTAAAAAATATTTTTTTTATTAAATAAAAAGTAGCCTATAACCATTCGGGGACCACTAAGAATATGTGTACAAATTTTCATGATGATCGGTTAAGTAGTTTTTGCGTGAAAGTATAACAAACATCAGGACGTTCGCATTTATAATATTAGTAGGGATTTCCAAGTCGTTCTAACGTTATAGCTAAAAATCGCTAAAATCGTAACATTTATCGATGTTTGACATTGAATTTTTTGCCTCAACGGGGCATCAAGACGTGTGCCAACAATAAAAATAACAAACCGGGGTGCTGTGAGTGCGTGTACATGCTGAATGAAACTGCGTGTACGAAATGCACATAATAAATTACTAACGACCATTAGAAAGCGATCTTTTTCGGCGGGCTGAATGGAAAGTTGTTAGTCTCTTGGTGCGATGCGAAGGCACGTCGCACCTCCGGCTCTTTGTCGTGCGAATTAGGGGGCGGTCAAATTTGAGCCTACAACTTACACCCCACCGGAATAAATCAACATCAAGTAGCGCACGCATTGCTCGACATGCCATTCATATCGACCACATTAACTTCTGTCGACTACAATGAATTGTGCTTATTACCTTCCTGTGTTGCTCGCTTCAAGCCGCTCGAAACATACTCGAAGGGTTCGTAAAACAGGAACATAAACTTTTTCAGAAACAGTACGACCACGTTGTAATGTATTCTTTACAGTTGGATAAAGTAGTCGTTGCAGTCGCATTGGTAAAGTCTAGAAAATGTGAAAACTTTAAAGTGCAAAGTATCATCGTCATCGTATCGAACACTACGCGAATAGCTGGGGTTTCTTTAGTCGATATTGATTGTGTCTGTTGAAATAAAACCATAACAAGGTGTCTCACGTGCCTGCACTGGTAGCGACAATTTATTTCAAAACCACAGCATCGTCAGCAGTTTGAGTTTGCTTACGGTGTGACTTTTACAGGTGTGGTTCAAGAACAGAAGGGCAAAGTGTAGGCAGCAGCAGAAACAACATAATCAACAGAATGCTGACAAAAGCAATCGTATCAAAAGTAAAAGCCTAATAACGAAGTCATCATCGCCTGCAGCTTCTAATAACAACAACAATAACAATACGAACAACAGGTGCGTTGAGAATTAAGCAACGCAACGGTTTCTAAAGAAGTGATTATTGTCTTTTTTTCAGTTCTGCTACCAGTTCTCCGATAGTACCTACAACGCCACAAGTGAGAGAAAGCCCGAACTACACTAAAGCTTCGGTTGCTAGCGCAAGCTCAAACAGGTCTCCACCGGTGAGTTTTGAAATATAATTATCTCGGCAAATCGAATTTAAAATCTATAACTGAAATTTAATTATAGGTGGTTTCATCTGCATATTCAAACGCTGGTAATTCAAGTATATGGTCTCCTGCTTCAATAGATAGTTTCCCATTGGAGCAGCATCGTTGGTGCAATACGAATCAATCGTCAGTTTTGGGCACGACCAGTGCGGGTGCAAATTGCTACAATAATTATTCCTACTATACTAACATGGATTATTTGAGCAGTTCGACAATGGGACATTCTCAATTCGTAGTAAGTCTTATGCAAAACAAGTTAAAGTACCTACCAATATTTCTAAATGTGTGGTTTTGTAATTTTCAGGATAATAATTTAGAGAATAGTTGGAGCAAGTCAAAAGACGAAACATCGTGGTTTTACAATGCAAGCTGGGAACGAAAATGAGATATGTTTTCAAAAAGTTCTTCAGTTAGCAAGTAAATTGCAAGCGGGTTTTATAGCAGGAACAATGACATTTCCCAAAGGTGTATTGCATTTTCATTATCATCAGGCATATATTATTCCAAGTTAATCAACAACTGAAATTCTAAATTATCTTTTAAAGAAACAAGTACAACATTTTATAGATGACCTATTCGAATGGATTTTCATAATCAATTATGGCATTAATTAAAAGAGATAAAAAGAAAACAATAAAATTAACGAATTTATTAATCGTTAGATTATAGGATTTAAATACCTAGTCGTATGTTGATTGATTGCATATTCTTGTAGTAGTTTTCAATGTGCCAAAACCTATTGCAAATGTGACTACGTACTTATATGATTAATCTATTCTTTGGTTAGATACCTATGTGTTTACTGATGAACCACACTTAAAATTACTGTACATATCCGTAGATATAGTATTAATTTAACAATATTCTCAGCATAAAATATTTGCAATAGTTAACAAATGTTTATTTCCTTGAACTTTAGTTCTAATTTACCGTCCTTATGAAAGGAATACAATTATGGTTGAACAAACTTGTTTCTATAATCTATTGTGTTTTGTGCAATATCAAATGTTATTATGTATGGCAGTTGCATGCTAGGGCGAATTTATTTTGTAAAATTTGTTAAACTTGCGTTAAAAGGCCTAAAATTAACGAATATTTTTAAAATAGTGTAAGTGTAAATTTTAATTATCTGTCCGTTCTAATTTGCATAGAACTAAGAATCTAAACGATAAAAGGATCTCGAAATATTGATTGACATAAGTTTGGCCTAGTATAATGTAAAATAAATTTGTATAAGTTATTGTAATGACATTTTTTGTGATAATTTGTTGCTGTATGATTACAATAAATCACAAATAATATTATTCTTTTCACTCTCAATTCTTTTATTGAATATTATTTTGTAGTAATATAGGTGTGGGTCTATTTTTGCGTTAAACCATACGAATGCAATCGTATGTCGACATTGTGTCCTTGCAGCGTCCCCTCTTCCCGCCAGCCGTTCAATAGGTTTGTTTTCATCTCTTATCATCAGTTGATCCGCTGCGCTCCACGTACCTCTACACGCGTTTCGAGATTTTAATCCAGTTAATTGTGCTATATTCGAGCGAAATAAGCGTGTAGTGTGTTATGATAATTAGTAATTTGTTGAACATTCCTAAAACATAATTGAGTACCGAAGAGAAGAAGAAATTTGCTTTCTACACTACTTCACTGATAATGTGAGTGTATATAAACACAAGTTTATCTTTTCACGTTCTACTTTTGTGCCGTCTTCAAACTGCTTCCAACTCACGCGATTTGCTTACCACGCGCACACCTTCATAGCGATCCGTTACGTTTCTTCTTACGTTAGGTTTTTTCTTTGCACCATTGCGTAATATTCCTAGTTACTCTCTTCGGCTGCGCGCGAGTTTGGTGCGGTGTACATTAAGCGTGGGGTAAACACATGCAGAGTTGCCTCTGCCTGAGTGATGTACCGTGGTATTATCATCATTTCTACTATGTGCAAAATTAAAGTGCTTGCAATTTATACTTTTATACTATTTTATATTTTGCATTAAGGTATGAAGAACAACTGTATGAAGAACAAATTGACTAGATACATTCTGGTTTTCTTTTCAACCGCGTTTCATTGCGCAATACATTGGCAAGCTAGTAATAGTTTTTGTTGATATCACATATCAACATGGTATAAGTATCATATACGAGCGTATTTATATTGGTATTATTCACTTGATTGCTTCATCATGTTTATTCAACATTTTGCAATAATTTACAATAATGTCGCGTGCCGACGGCAGGGTTCTTGGCTCCCGCCGGGCTGGTCGCGGGTTGATTTTCATCAAATCAAATTCGAATTTGTGTTTTATTCTGTTCTGATCTGTTTCTTTTTGAAAATTTGATTTTATTTTGGTAACAGCCTTTATAGTTGTTTCCTTAGGTAACCTAAGGGTGTAAAGTTTCCTTCGTACGGTGCCCATAATGGAAGTCACTTCAACCGTTACCTTCATACGGTACCTTGAATGAGAATCACTTCTATCGCTTCCTTCGTACGGTGCCCTAAATGGGAGTCACTTCAACTGCTACCTTCGTACGGTACCCTGTGCTAAGAGCAGAGATTTTTGTCCCAGATTTTTCACCAGATTATCTCCGTGACTGCCTTTTCATATTGACTGCATTCAATTCTGGATTTTAGGATATATTATTTATACCAATAAGAGAGTACGTTCACAATATACCTACCTTCTTTTCATTGCATTAGACTGCATCCTCAACATAAATTGTTCATAGTCCTCACTCCTGATCCTTATCGGTGTTTGTGCGTAAACAACTTTTTGTTATCGCGTTGCGTTGTGTTTGTTCTATTTCTTACTTAGTCGATCGTGCGCTGCCGCGTGGCAAAGACGAGTTTACTTGATCGGCGGTTTTCGTGACGACTAATCGCGTTTCTTGTGATTTTAAGTTAGTAGTTGAATTAAAATCGGTCAGTAAAGATAAGATTTAAAAGTACCCGACGAGTGCGGCGTATAGTTATTAAGATATCGCACGTAGAACCCAGAATTCCGTGGATTTACAAAGTACGCACGTGTTTGCCGTCGGTCGGCGGATATCTCCCGACGGTTAAGAATTCCTAGTGGTTTTGTTTTGTGTATTCATTTAATTATTAATTTGAATTATCACTACCATTTGTACCTCTGGTGGAGTATTTCACCTACGAAAACGTAAAAAGGTGTGTAACATAAATATTACATTCTGTTATTATTTGACTAATTAAATAGTCAAATGTGGATTCATCACCCGATAAGGAAGAACGATCAGTCAAATTAGTAGAAGCTCTGAAAATGGTCGCATTGAATCCACGGTGTAATGCAAGTAGTGCAATATTGTCGCGTTCCGTCGGCCCCTTATTGGCTTTCGTTAGGTTAGGTTCCGTTTATCGTGCCTGATTATTGCTTTTGTATCTTATTTCTGTTTGTAATCGGCTTCACGTGTTTGCTAGTTTCTGAGTTTAAGAGATCATGATTTAGTATTTCTTTAAAAGTAGTAATTATAATTATTAATAATTGTAGGTATTATTTATTATGTTCTATCCCCGCATCTATCACCTCTCCTGGATATCCAGGTGGACCCAACTGAACTTTTTTCTTTTCTTTTTTGTATCACTCTGTATATAAATTTACCTTTAAGCCCAGCGAAAAATGAGTAATCATTATTGTTTTGTTGTGGTTTTCTATATAAATAGAAGATTTTCTTTTGACAACACCCTGTATATAATTTTTCCTGCTCAGCAAAAAAAATCGTCAATCTTTATTTAAACATTTATACATTTTAGATTTTATTTTGGTAACACCCTGTATATAATTTTCCAGTGATGTCACGCGAAAACAAGGTGCAATTTGCTATTTTCTAGTGTTATTCTTTGAAATTTGGTAGCAGTTTGCATGTCGTGGCGTTGCAGGTGATAAACATGTTTTAATATGGCGTCACTTGTTCTGTTGACTTGTGAAATCTAATGTTGTATTATTTTACAATGTATTTATTAATAAAGAAATGTTAAGAAATATTATGTCTTATGCTTTGAATGTACCCCTTCTATCATTTCAGGAACAGCTCTCTAAGAGAGTTCCCTCTCTCAGGGGATGATCCCCACTATAAAAATTGTTAAGGTATCCTGTGTGATTTGCTCCTTCTTTCATTTCAGCGACAGGTCAGAACTTGTAAGAATATTTTTAAGTGTCCCCTCTCTTGAGGCGACTTAAAACTTAGAAATATTTGAACAAGACCTTATAAGGATTGTCCTTATAAGGAGTTCCCTCTCTCTGGGGATGATCCCCCACCATAAAAATTGTTGATATGCCTGATAATTTCGGGGATGAAGCGCAGAGACATCGTAGCTGTAGGTTGGGCCGGGAGCAATGGACACATCGAAGCAGTGGGCGATCGACCAGAGCGCCGGAGGCGCTCTGGGAGATCGACCGTAGACTGTCTTATAACGACACGTGCCAAAAAATTTAAAAATCTGATCCTCCCCTGTTCTCTTTCTTCTATCTCCTCCTCTTCTCCTACTCTGTCTTCTACTCTTTTCTGCTATTCCTTCATTTCTCTGTTCTCCGTTTCTCCACTTACTTAATTTCTTACTTCTCTTATTGCCTTCACTTGTATTTCAATTTCTCTTGTATTTCATTGCAATTCATATATGCAACCCAAATTACACCTGTTATTTTTATATTTGAGAAAAATGCCTTCTATACCTGAGATTCGATCCGTGCCTACTAGCATGCCAGCAGGTGCACGTCCGCACTCGACCACCGAGTGTTCTTATCGTTGCTATTTGATTCTTCTATTTATGTTTCTATTTTTATCAAAATTTTAAAAACAACAACACAAGTCTCAGCTATGCACTCGCTCCACTCGTATAAGATTTATATGCAATATGATTTAACGACGTTAATACTGAAAACAACAAAGAGGATACCAAAAAGAAATAAGAATGACTTATAATTTTACATTGTATTTTATTAACAACATTTAGTAACAGATACATTTTTTTAAATAAAAAAATATCGACAGCATGTAAATTCTGCAGCTAGAAGACTTGCCTTAATTAAATATGCGAATCCCCAACACTTCCGCTTTTGATATTTCAAGGTCCATAGTATAGCCACTCACAAACTTCTTCCCTGGAAACCAGCATTGCCTACTTGCACGAATTAATTATATATCCATCTTATTATTATGTGCGAAAAGAAAACCGATTGCCGACGGACACACGCGCGCAGAAGTAAACCGAAAATTAATCTGTAATTGATAAATACTCAACGCGTGCCATCACACTTGTAAAACCCCGGTAACGCCCGATTCTAATATATAGCCATCAATTTTTTTAACAAATGTAAGTCAATTAACTTAATTATGATATGAAGAAACAAGACTAGTCGCAATGAACACACCCGATTTATCCGACGGCCGGAATGGAATTGCATATGCACCGAACTGCTCAGCGGCAACACGAGAACATGTTCGCTGAACGCAACAAAAAAATTGTTTACATACAAGTATCGCGAAACTATGAATGCATAGCAGCACCAGTTTTGATACTGCTAGTACACTCGACAAAATTTCTGCGGCTCTATGTTTTTAGCGATATCTTCTAAACTAATAGAGATAAAGAGGATCGAATGGCATATCCTTAACCTACGAAAATTTCTCTTTAAGATAGACTAGTTTAATTAGAGCTACAGTCAATTTTAAAAATAGGGTTTTAAAAAAATTATGCAAAGAGGGGGGTCTTCTCATTGTATCGAAATATGTTTTTAGCGATATCTTCTAAACTAATAGAGATAAAGAGGATCGAATGGCATATCCTTAACCTACGAAAATTTCTCTTTAAGATAGACTAGTTTAATTAGAGCTACAGTCAATTTTAAAAAATAGGGTTTTAAAAAAATTATGCAAAGAGGGGGGTCTTCTCATTGTATCGAAATATGTTTTTAGCGATATCTTCTAAACTAATAGAGATAAAGAGGATCGAATGGCATATCCTTAACCTACGAAAATTTCTCTTTAAGATAGACTAGTTTAATTAGAGCTACAGTCAATTTTAAAAATAGGGTTTTAAAAAAATTATGCAAAGAGGGGGTCTTCTCATTGTATCGAAATATGTTTTTAGCGATATCTTCTAAACTAATAGAGATAAAGAGGATCGAATGGCATATCCTTAACCTACGAAAATTTCTCTTTAAGATAGACTAGTTTAATTAGAGCTACAGTCAATTTTAAAAATAGGGTTTTAAAAAAATTATGCAAAGAGGGGGTCTTCTCATTGTATCGAAATATGTTTTTAGCGATATCTTCTAAACTAATAGAGATAAAGAGGA